AAAAATAAACAAAAAAACAAAGAAAGGACAAAAGAAAGAAAGAAGGATGAAATCTAAATTTCTTACACTAAACACAAATACCATATGAGTTGTCTTTGGGAGCACCTCTTCCCTCATTTGCTGTGCTGTTGCCCTTGAATTCTCTGCTTCATGCATACTGGCCTTTTGTTAGTTGACCCCTCAAGCCCCTAATTCTGAGGACATTTTCACTTGCTGGACTTCTGTCCTGGAATGCTCTTGCCCACACTGTACCTGGCTAGCTTCTTGTGGTTTTCTTTACCATTGGTATCATCATCTGAAATCTAAAATGTAGTTATATAGCCCTGTCAATCACCTCAACTGGAATACTGGCTCAGGTGCCTTTATTTACTCATCACTCTTCATCCTCCTTGTCCTCACAGAACTAAAGGAAAGATCTGAAAATGGAACTCTGAAAGTCTAACTTTGAGTCTTCTCTCTGAGTTTTGTCTGAACTTCAGTGGCCCGGGTAACTGGGTGGCTAAAATCTCTCGTGCCTCAGGGTTATGGTTCCCAGACATTAGTGTACATGTGAATCAGTCAGGAAGCTTGAAAATAATACAGATTTGAGTTCATTCATTCTAGAGTGAGGTCCTCCAAGTCTGCATTTTATACAAGCCCTGAAAGGGTCTTAGTTGTTTGTGCAGGCTCTCAGTTGGTTTGACATGTTTCAGTCCATTCCGACTTGAGAACACTGCCTCAATATTCCTTTAGTGTATGTGGTCGCATCTTCTGAGCACGAGGACCGTGCATGCAGTCTATAATTGAACGTTTCATGTTTTCAGCCTTCTTGGTTGGAAGGAGTAACTTCTGTGTAAGAATATGATCCCAGTTAGTCCTGAAGAAGACTGAATTCTGGAATATTTTTCTTTAACTAAGTATGAATAATAGAGTACTTTTGTGCTAGGGTTGTAGAGCTTGACACTAGAAATGTGGAACTTTGAGATCACCCTGAAGGAAGGACCTACTGAAATAAGGCCAATGTTAAGGAAAGCAGAATTAAGAGATGAAAAGGACGCTATCTGAACAGTATTAATTTAATATCTGGATGTAGGCTTATATGAAATTAGAACTATCCCTGGATTCTTTAGTTGTGTGGACTGAAGCAAGTTCCTCTACTTTTTTATTTCTTGAGCCAGTTTAATAAGCTACATTTCTTTCTCATCTAACAAAAGGACTGTTACGTTTGGGTAGAGAAAAATTAACAATAGGAAGGAAGAAGGAAGAGGAAGAGGGAGAAGGACAAGAAATTCTTGCAAAGGAAAAATAAATTGTTGAAGATTCTGGGGATAAGACAGATTTGAACCAAGCCAGATTTTGGCAGAGATTTAAGGGTTGAAGCAGTTTGTGAGCTACTAGCACAAGCAGTGATTAGAAATTCTGGACTTCTCCACAATTCAAGATGCTAAATGAGAATAGTCAGAGCTTCATCAAAGGCAGGGCAAGTGTTCCATCTGGCCTGAAGGTGAGGCAGTGACGCGGAAGTGAGATCCAGAATCAAAGGCTAACAGGTATGGAGCTGTTCTAACCTGGAGTTAAGGATGTAGCTGTTTACCTTTATGATTCCCACTTGCACATGCCCTTGCATGCTGGAATTCATCATGTCACACCGCCGATTTACATTTAGAAAGCTGCCTGACAGTGTTCAGATGATTCACCACAGAGAGCACAAACAGGAAAAAGGAGACTAGATCACAGGACCAATGTCTAATTCTGAGGAAAAATTCTATTTTTGTGTGTTGGGGCTGCAACTGCACATTATGAATGAGTGTCTGGTCGACTTTCCATTGTCATTCAGCAGTTAGAATGATTTTGAGTGGTTTCTGGTCACAGACCCACTGCACATCCATTCCATCCATTTCATTTCCTGATGATGTCAGGCAGTGTAGCTAGTTCATACCGTTAAAAAAGTTCCAGGTTAGTATAAAAAGATCCCAGAGGTAGCTTACTTAAGTCTTGTTGTGCTGTGAAATCTATCTTTCAAAACTCTAAATACCATCCTTAGTTTCCAATGATGCCTGAGGGGTTCATGAATCTACAATCTTTATCACCTTGGAGATTGAAACTGTCCTAGTGCCTGGATTCGGCAGCTGCACTCATATTAAAAAATGCTGCAGAGCAGCTGGTGGAGATATAAATCAATACAAGGCTTGCACTTCTGAAGCTTTGGTACAGACACCCCTTGACCTGACTGCCCAGTGGAGACCATCAAAAATAAAGTATAATCATGAACAATAGCACTCCATGTCCAGCATGCCCATGTAAGTACTAAGAATCCCTCAAAATGAAAATGATCTGGGAACATAACATATATGCTATTTAAATTAACTTTTCACAAGCATCTAGAAGGACAAAGGAAGCTCATCCGACCATTCAAGGGAAAATCTAGTATATTCTATTTTTTAAAAATTTAACCACAGGGTAGTATTTTAAAATATCACACAATCTTTATTATTAATTTAATTGATGGAAATGATACACTGGACAGGTGAAGCTTGTTATTGACACACTGTCTCTTTGAGCCCCTGGTTTCAGAGCAGGATAAGGGAGTCAGTATCTACCAAACCTATGGAACTGCAGGGATGATTAAAACAAGTTGCACGATACAGTAACACTGTATTATTATTACATTTAAACATGAAGAAGTTAATAAAATCCTATCTAGACCACTCTTTTAAAGACTATATGTAATATTATATGACACTGTAATTCAGAAATGATACCAGAGATCTCATATGAAGTAAACTTAATATTAAAATCAAAGTGACAGGAACAGTCACACAGTTTGGGCAGAAGATATTCTTATTATAAATATATAATAATTTTATAAAACATTTTGATGTAACATTCAGTACCTTGCGTGGTTTCTACAAACTAATCTTCAGTGGAGAAAGCCTTTCTAGCATTCATTCATTCATTTATTTTACAAGTGCTTCTTTGGTATCTGCCTTGTTCTCTGAGGACAGACAGTAACCACAGTAGACAAGGCCCCTGGTGCCTGTTCTTGGGAAGCTACCGTCTAGCAAGAGGGATGCAAACAGACATATCTTCCCTATTAATAAAGTCCTATGATAGAAAAGTATAGGATCAGAGAACAATTAAGAGGGTACAAAGTATAAATGGAGAGTGGGGATATCAGTTAAACCATTCTCAAAAGAGCAGCCTTCATGGTGTGCTCTGAGAAATTGGGAGAAGCCTAGCCTGGACTTCAATTGTATCTTTGAAACAAACATTTGAAGTTTTTGAAGGTACATTTCTATGTACTGCATCTTTTTCTTGGCCATAGTCACATTTTCTTGTTTGGTCTCCGGTTTAGTAATTTTTATTATACACTACAGGTTTTGAATAATGCACTGTAGACACTGTGGATAATGTTATCTTCCCTGAAGAAAATTGGGTTTTGTTTTGGCTGGAAGTGATATTATTAATGTAGCACCTAGAATATGGGGACTTGGTTTTATGAGTCATTTTGGTCAGTATGTTTCAGTTTCTCCCTTATCCCAAGGGAAATCTCTTTTTTTTTTTTTTTTCAGAACTTGTTTTCTTACTTCTAAAATGTGATCCTTTTGGGACTTTAAAGGAAAGTTTAATATCTTTAACACATCCCCTAAATAGGCTGGAATCAAACTCCAAACTCTAACTCACAGAGTTTCAGGCAGAACCTGAAATCTTTGTTATGTTTTGGTTGTCGTTTACTTTTCAGACATTAACGATTCCCTGCCTTTGGACATCTTGTCATTTTAACTCTAAGTTTGTAATTCATGGATTCTGGGAGAGTTTATACCAGATTTTAAGTATCTGCTATGGCTCACTTATTTCTGAAAATTTCAGAAACTCTGGAAGGATCAAAATTCACACTTTGACTCCTCCAGCCAACACAACTGCAGTTTTCTGTTGCAATTCTGATGCCAACATGTCTCAAAGTGGAAGTGGCCTAGAGAAAAGGGTGTATAAGCACAGCTGATGACTCACGTTGTGTGCTTCTCTTCTTTGGAGGGTTTATTCTTTTCTAGTTTTTGCCTGTTTTTAGTTACTGTCTCATGTAATGAGGAGAATTAAATTTTTCTCGTAGTATTTACAATTTTTTATTTATGGAAAGGTGTGTCTGATACAAACATTCTGCTCTATTTTAACATGTCTTTTTAAAAAAGATATTTGGTATACATTTGCCCGATTTTCTGTGAAAACTCCCTGTGGAGTTCCTATTCTGGTTTCCCATGATTTGGTTCTACTTTGGAGCTGTACGCACTGTTTCTACAGCTTCACCTCCACTTAGGAGTACAGAGTGTATTCACTTTCTTGCTCTTATTTATTTACCAGATAGGTCTTGCCTTATTCTTTTACTTAAAGTTTAAAATAATGATTCATGTGGGCTCAAATTCCAGGGCTAGGTATGTACCATGCTTTATGTATGGATTAAGTGTGTCTTTCGTGTGTCGTGTGTTGCACGCTTGCTTCTCAGTGTGGTAATGTTGGAAGGTGGGACCTTAAGATGTGCGGCCTAGAGGGATGTGGATAGGTTTATTGGAGGTTCTATCCTGGGAAGGATTTGAAGGAGTCAAGGGGTCTCTGAATTGCTGTCTGGTTCCTGCATTGTGATGTAACCAATTTCTCTTGCACATGCTCCTACTATGTACTATAGTGCTAGAGTCAGCACTACACTGTTTAAAATGTAAGAGTTCCAAACTGTGAGCTAAATAAACCTCTTTTCTTTATAAGCTTATCCTGCCTCAGTTGTTTTGTTATAGTAATGCAAAACTGACTAATAAAATATAATATTACTCTATATAACCTTCAATTTAAATTTTGCAATCTTCAGTTCCCAAATATGTAAAATGAAAAGTTATCCTTATTAAGTGTGACCCTTAATAAAGATAAAATAAATTTTATAAGTAACTCTTTTCTGCTTTGAGGGCTCTTTGTACTGCATTGATGATAAACATAGGATAAATTATTATTATTAGGAATGTTTAATATATTACCTGAACTTTATTCATCTCCAGTTTGTTCTTCTCATTGGCACTTTGATCTTGTTTGCTTGCTCCCTTTTTCTGAGGGCCTTTACCAAAAAAGATGTAATTTACAAAGGCATATTCCAGCAGAGCCAGGAATACAAACACAAAGCAACCCATCAGATAAATATCAATTGCTTTGACATAAGGGATCTTTGGCAGGGTCTCCCTGAGGTGAGTGCTGATGGTTGTCATTGTCAGCACTGTGGTGATTCCTGTGAAACAGAAAGACAAAGCTGAGCTGAAGGAACTCCTGTGAAATTGTCCTTTTCGAGATTTCAGGGACAGACAATATTTCTTTAATGGTGCCCCAGAATCATGGGATTAACATGCTATGCCACTGGACAAAATGGCACACATTTTGAAAGACAAAGTCATAACCTCCTTCCATAGTCCATCAATAGATAGAATGTATGGTCAGTGGAGGATTGACAACATTAAAAAATATAAATCAAGGAAGAAGAAAAACACATAAAAAGTCAGATAAAATTCTCATTAGAAACATGCCTCCAAATGTTCCTCAGTTCTATTTTGTGTGTCCAACAACTTCCTTGTTTTTCTCAGTATCTCATCCATGTCCTTCCAAAATCTGTCTTTGTGATACTAATTTCCACAGAGGCCACTATCAATTAAAAGTTTGTGACTAGCTTGAGAGCTATTGTATTCTATGAATCCACAATACACCCAAACTTACAAGTTGAGTATAACATTTTAAAATAATGAATCATTTATACTCAGGTCATCATGAAAAGAAGCATATGAGAAAGTTTATGATTTATATCAGTACATCAAACATCTCATTTATGTAGTTTTTAGATGCAACATAATATTATTTTGGCTTTGCAAATATTAACTCTATTTTCTTGGTTCCACAGCCTAGAAAAGATTAACTCCCCAGTGTTAGAGAAAAGCTTCTTAAAAAATGATCTTAGATTTGTTAAAAAAATTTAAGTCCATATATACATCAAAGTTAGTGCTTTATCTGCTTTGTTAAATATAGGATTAGTAGCTTAAGTTTGTGTGGGTTGCATAACTTGATAATGATTATGATGAAAAAATAATTGGGAAAAGTAAGAAATGAAAAAAAGAAGTTGAAATTTTGTGTAGTTTGTGCTGCAATATTATATACCTTTCTGTAGTGTTTTATAGATCTAAACATCTACAACTATGAATTATCTCCTATGGCTGTCACAACAGCATGTTGAGTGTGACAGCATATTATTCTTTTTTATACTGAGTCAACAAAATTTGAAATTTTATTTATCCAGCTGAAGGTCAAAAATTTAAGGAGATGTTAAACAAAAGCATTTAAAAATAAACAGAGACATGAGAAGTTGATGCCTGACATTTGATGGAAGTATTTTAAAGTAAAGGCAGGAAATATTAAATGGATAGAAAAGACAAAGGAAGCATGGTGAAAGGAATGGAAAATAACAAAAGAAAGGAAGAAAAAAAAGATAGTTTGCATTCCTTTTTCCACTCAGATTATTCTAGATGTGATTTCATGATTCAACTATATTTTCAGAAGATCAGATAAAATAGGAAGGAAGTCAGGACCATCATACCAAAAATTAAAATGGTTCACATCAGTGATTAATTCAAATGGGTTGTATTGATATGAAATGAGTAGTCTTATTTATTTATTTCTTTGAACAAAATTGAAATTTCATTTAAAATAGTTATAGCTACTATGCTTGAAAAAAAGCTTAATTCTTTTACAAATTCACTAATTGTATTTCTGCTTTTAGTCTTTGGCTAAATTTTTAAGCAAAAAGGGTTATTGAATGAATGTCTTTTAAAATTACACATGTTTAAAATATGTCAGGTTTACATTCTAAAAGTATGTTAAATCAGCCATTTTTATAGACTCACATCTTTATCTCTAATCAAGATATCATTAGCTTTGAGAATAGATACACAAAGGGAATCACAGTTCATGTATTTGCTAGCTATTTTTCTCTGCTGTGGACATCATCCAGTATTTACTTTTGTTTTGTTTTTACTAATCATGGCATATATACATAGCATACTCACATTCAAATAACTTGTACAGATACATATGTAAAATAGGACAAATTATTTCTTTGCTTTCTTTACTCTTAGAATGTTCAAAGAAGCTGAAACTCCTTGACATTATAAGCCGTATCTATTCAACCCATAGAAATAAGCTACAGAGGTGATTATTAGTGTAGTTGTGAAAGGGTGTGTGCTGCTTATTTGATCCAGTTCAGTAATCTCAGAAGAGATGTAGTATGTTATTTTGGCCAGAAGTGATGCTGTTTCTCTCTCTCTCTGTCTCTCTCTCTCTCTGTCTCTCTGTCTCTCTCTCTCTCTCTCTCTCTCTCTCTTTCTCTCTCTCCCTTAACTTCTGTCTCTCTCTGTCTCTCTCTGTCGCTGTCTCTGTCTCTCCCTCTCTCTCTTTCTCTTTCTGTGTGTGTGTGTCTGTCTGAATAAATACAGAAAGTAGGTGCAAATAAAGAGGCATATTTATACATGACCAGAATCATCGGGCACACATTACACATTTTAACTTTCAATGAACAATTTAAAGTCGCAAGTATAACCTTTCAGGTTTCAGCCAATTATTCAACATGGTAAGATTAATTCTGAATTTTGTTCTACAAAGAAGGAAAACATTTTTCTTCTGTCTTGATCAGAGATCATTAATATAGTTAATGTATAAATTGTATGTGCTTTACACAATGTAATGGGCTCCATTTAAGAGAGACTTAGCTTGATATGCTGTAACTTTAGTTAATATTCAAAGGATAGTATTTCCCAACAATTTATATAGCTTGTTAGTGATCATAAGGCTTTGTTTTCTCCAAGTCTATTTAAAGATAATGAGTTGTAAGTATTTTCCCAGTAAAAAGCAGAGAACAAAGAGGAAGTCATCGCAAATTTAGTAAAAATTTGTGTATTGAGATACACGTCACAAAGTACATTATGGGATACGGGCCCCAAGAATTTCTTTTTGGTACAATGTTAAAGATAGATTTAATTGTAATAACTCATTTTAAACATTTTTATGTTTATATTTAGTCACTCTTCTGATAATTTTTTCATCTGATTATAAGAAAGTTCTTGCATATTAGCCCTGGCTATTTGTTTGAAGGTACTACCCCTTAACTTCTGCTATACTGAGAATGCATACCTAGTGCGACTCTGGCTGCAGACGCATCATAATTGATCCAAAATGACACCCAGGACAGAATTGTAATCAGTGTAGAAGGCATATAGGTTTGTAAAATGAAGTAACCGATGTTTCTCTTTAGACGAAAACTTAATGACAATCTTGGATATGCTCCTGAATTGAAAAAGAAAGAAAAGATAATCCAAGCATCATTTGATTGCAATCATCCTGGGCCTTTACAGGCAATTTTAGTTAACTGTGGAGCAAACATCCTCACCTGTTGTGAATTCCACCTTCTTGGACACCATCTTGTAGTCAACAATTGAAAACTGAGGAAGCTCAATTTTATTAACTCCAGTTACTGCTTTTTCTCCTCCATTCCAGTAAAACTCAATGTCGTCAGTGGTATAGCCATCTGAAAGGAAAGAACACAGCCTAGTTACATAGTGCTCATGTGGTCTAAAGTTCATATTGAAGACAATTTTGAAACCAGAGGGAAGATTCCCAATAATTGATGGCGAAGTAGCATTGCTCTGAATCAGGATGGCAGACGGGTCTCAGGCTGAATGCTGTTGGTACTGACTGCACTAAAAAAAAGATGCATCTGGCTTTAGTGAACATAAACGTTAGATCATTTAATGATATCTGATATTACACTGTGTATTCATTTTCATTGTGTCTACCAGTAGTGACTAAAGTGAGAGATGGGTGAATTCCAGGGGTCTAGAAATGGATTTTAGCTATGCATTGCCTTACAACATTGACAGCCACAAGTAATAATAATGGAGCTCATATTTGTTAAAAGGAACAGGAGACATGAAAGGAGTACAATGAACAACCACATTTGCACATATCTGTTAAATGACCAAGGCCTTTAAAAATGTACATTTCTTTTAGAAAATTAGTCAAGCTTTTGGTTTTATTCTTTGATAATAGTTACTACCACAGCTAATATATGGGTAGAAATTTTGAGAACTATATGAGATGTGTTTGAAAATTAAGATGTGTGCATGAATAATGACTTATTACAGTGAAATACACATTGTCATTAAATCAAATTCAAAATTCTCCCCCTGGCTTCAGAAACATTTATGCCCTCATTCTTGATACTTTCTGAGGCAATTTTGAGGTCCTTTATCATAAGTGTCTTTAGTTCCACTGTAATGGCTGCCTTGCTGTCCTCAGTCAATTCAAAACATTTATCTTCGTGGTCAGTTTGATTTTGGGAAAGGGTCGGAAGTCACACATTGCCAGGTTGGGAAGAACATATCACGTTTTTAGAGCCTACCTTTCTGTTAGATGGTGCCAGGCAGCAGCCCTCATAGTAATTTTGATTGCATCTCACAAAGATATGAAAGACTTCCAGAGCTGCTTCAGAAAGTGGCAAGAATGATGGGATAAGTGTGCTTGAAGCTGCAGGGAATATTGTGAGGGAGCTCAATGGCAATGTGTGTTTTACTGTAATAATTTAAAAAATTTAAACATTCACTATATTTTTCAATTACCCAATGTGTGATTTGTTGGTAATACTTTGATGTCTTCCTATTTATGAGGGTGAGTTAATGTAAGGGGGACGTGTAGAAGATTATCCGTACGTCTTCAGCAGGGAAGGCCTGGCACTGGTAACCTATGGAGGTCTCCATGCTCAAAAATAGACTCTCTCAGCTGGATGTGGTAGCACATGTCTGTAATTCCAGTACTCTGGGAGGCTGAAAAAGGACGATCAAAGTTGTATTCTGTTTTTCCTGATTTACTCCCAGTTGCCAGGAGTCTAGCTGGGTTATGGTCATGCATATAAATAATGTATAACAAGAATGCTTGGGTATATTAAAAAATCTAAAAATAATGTATAACAAATTTATTTTTCTCCTTTTAGCAATTTCAGACATTTATAAGTTTAATTTGTATTCTCCTTAAATTTGAAAGTATTAAATCCTTTTCTCCTTTAGAATTACTGAAGTTTATGTTTAAAAGGTAACCCTAAAATTTCTTTGTAGTAGATAATATGTTGACCTACTTTTGATTAAAGCCACAAAATTTTTTCAGGAGACAAAAAATAGCTTTAAAACTTGGAATTTGAATGGCAAGTGTCTAAGAGTTGCTACCAATTTACCACCAAATGAATGAAAGGAATTTAAAGGTATTTCTTTTTTTTTTTTTTTCAGGAGAAACAAAGCTGTGTCAACTTTACTGCTTTAAGTGTTTTTAATTTGTTTTCAAAAGCTCTTTATAAAAATTCTTTTCTTGACTTTATTGAACTCACAACAGTGTTTTTGTGTCTTAATTTTTGCCCCTGTAAATGTTATTCTATATTATAAAATATTTGAGTGTATATTTTATTTGAGTGAATATTTGAGTGAATATTTTATTTCTCTTTACACCATCTCCTTTTATGTCTAAGAACTTGCCCTCTCTGTGAAGGGAACCTTTTCATACATTCTACAGTGATCCAGTATAGACACAGAAATAGAAAGTATTTACTATCACATATGATTGCTGGTGTCTGAGAGACTGTAGATCCTTTTTCCCTTTTGAATCTAGTATAATCTAGTAGGAACTCATTGGCATATTGGGGATTTAAGCAAGTTTGAATATGACTCCCTGAGAAAGGTTCTTAATACATCCTTGAGAATCTGAGAAGAACCTACGACCAACTTCACAAAAAAGAGAGAAGTAATGAAGGAAAGAAGGAAAGAAAGAAAGAAAGAAAGAAAGAAAGAAAGAAAGAAAGAAAGAAAGAAAGAAAGAAAGAAAGAAAGAAAAGGAGAAAAAGTATATAATTTCAATCTCCAGGAATGGAAAAGCTTCCTGTTAATTTTAGGTTTACTAAGTTAACCAGGTGATAGATTTCAACCTCAAAGTGGTCCTGAGCTATAAGTACATAGGGGAAAAACATGTAAGCAATCAATTAATAGTTGAGAGTCACAGATGGTTAGCAGGTTAGGGGTGAAGGGGAGACGGGAAATGGGTGAGCTAGATGAGCTCCTCATGTTATGTACGGCCTCTGAAGAGTGTCTGAACTCCTAAGCACTGCAAACAATAAAAAAGCTGGAACATTCTTTCTTTCTTTTCTCGTTTTTTGGGTAAGGGGATAAAAATGGAAACCAAGTTTTGTAAATAAGTAGAAAAGAATGGTTAAAGGGAGGTTAGGGGAATGGGAAAAAAAAAGAATCAAGTTATACCATGTACAGGTACAAATTCTGTATAATGAACATAATCATTATGTTTACCTAAAATGTACCAATAAGCTTAATTAATTAAAAAATCTCCTTCCTTCCAAAAAAGCTGGAACAATACATATTTTAATGGTATGGTCATGTATCTTTATTTGAAGTTTTGCTCCAGAAAGAAGGAAGAGAAAAAAATATGTACAAGTATACACGGGATAACTAGGATATTGTACTACTAATATCTGTTGGTTTATTAAGAGGAACTGTTAATGTGTAATTGTTTGATCAGTAGTATATGTCTGTATGTTTATCTGTGCAACCATTTTGAAGATAACATTATGTAATATAACAACCATTGTTAATATCCTATCACTTTGTTTTGAAATTCTGTATTATTTTTATTGTTCTTTATGCTGCTTTGTTTATGCATTTGTTTTTGTTATTTTGTTTTTTTCTTTTCTCTTTAAAATGAAAAACAAAGTTTTTATATCTATACAAAGATAGCTGGGATAGGTGTATTGCTAATGTCTGTGCGTTATTGAAAAGAACAGTCAATGTTTAAAATTTTCTTTTTGCACGCTTGAATTTGGTAATAGGAACGACTGATCTGAAAATAACAGTATGCAGTATAAGAACCATTGTTGAACTTCTACCATCTTGTGTGGTGAAGCTCTGTATCATTTCCAATATTTTTTAAATTACTTGTTACTGTCTTTGATTGTTTAATCAATCTTATCTGGTGGACTGAGCAACTTCGTTGAAGATAACAGTATGTAATATAGCAACCATTGTTAATTCCTATCATTTTGTTTGAGGTCATGTATCGTTTTTGTATTGTTTTGATTTTGTCTTCATTGTTATTTTGCTAGTATTTTTATCTTCAAGATAAAAAGGAGTTAATTGTAGTTTGCAATTATTAGATGGAAAATTCCAGAAATAACCAATCCATAAATTGTAAGTTGTACACTGTGGTAATGTGATAGAATCCCATGCTGTCCTATTCCGTCCTGCCCAGGAAGTGGAATATCTCTTGTTTGGCATATCAGTGCTGTCCTATGTGCTACTTACCCACTCATCACTTACTGGCTATCTCAGATTAACTCTTATGGAAATAAAGTGCTTGTGCGCAAGTAACTCTTCTTAGAGAGAGTGTGGGAGACCACTTTAAATTTTTTTTACAATTTATTGTTATAATTATTCTATTTTGTTATTATTGTTGTTAACTTCTTACTGTACCTAATTTAGAGACTAAACTTTATCTTATATATATATATATATGTGAATATGTAAGATATACATGTATAGGAAAAGAACAGGATATATGGGGTTTGAAACATATCTCTTGCAGCTAAGGAGGGCCTACTATATTCAACAATTCATTCAGTTCGTGGTCTGAACCCCACTGCTCCCCCAGCTCACTTGCACTTTGTTTAAGTAAAACCCATTGGGCACAGCATTCAAGCACTGAGATAATTAGATGATCTGGGGAAAAAAGGAACGCTCACACCATCTCAGGTGGATGCTTCAGTTCTCATGGGAGCGATAATGGCAGCTGGATCCAAAGGAAAGAATAGAGGCCTAGAAATACACTATTATTCAAAGCTTACACAAGAACATTTTGCCACCAAGAGAGAACATCAATTTACTCACACCTGAACAACCTGTTTACCAAAGGTTTTCCTTTGCGAACCAGTGACTTCACACAGCGCCTTAAAGCCTGAACACTTGGATACCAATGATGTGTTTCCTAGCAACAATAGCTACACAGAAGCTCTTGAAATTTCCTCTCAGCCTCTGGGGACTTCTTAGTGGTGCAGAAAGTACAGATAAAATTAAGTTGATGTCAATGGATAAAGATTCATGAAGCCGGTAAAATGTAGAAGTATATGGATGTTAGCATTCCTGTTTGTTCCTTGAAAGACTTATTTTGGATGCATTTTCTAATTAGGAAATAAAAATATACTCTCCACTGTGCTTAATAGAGCGAGGGGATGGTCAAGTACTTACATACATTTTGGATACACACAGAGTTAAGCTTCTAATCCCTGAGTGGGCAGAAGTAAACAGATCTCCTTTTGTGCAAAAGCCATAGCAACATATCTGGTGTGGATTTTGTTTGGCTCCGGGCAACCCTTAAAATGCCATTGACTTTGCTAGGTTTATTGTCTCAAGGGTAGGTGACAATCCAGGTTGTTATGCTTTGAATGTGTTCCCCAAAATTCATGTGCTGGAAACTTGATTCCCA